AGCTAACAGTGTTTATTGAGAAATCCCCAGTTTGACAGATTTTGCTCCTAAATTGTAATTTCTTGCTTTGCATTAATAAGAAATTATCTGTCGTGCCCTCCCGAGGACGTAGGCAGTTGCCCGAACCCTCGTAAATTTTCGCGCTGCTTACTTTTTTTATTTCTGCGTTTCGTTGCCGATATAGGCGTGATTTAGGCATTAAATTCCCAACCACTTTCTTCTGCGCGTTAATTTAAGGAAACCTTGTTAAAAAATTTGTGCCCGCTTTTTAGATAAAGCCGTTTTCTGCTATTTTAGTTTCACAAAACCCGCACGCAAGTATAAAAGCGGCGCTGTTTGCCCCACAAGCAACCCTCTTTGCGACTCCTTTATTCTCCCATGCATCTTGGAAGTTTTCTTCACATAAACCTCCGACGCCAACATCCTTGCACCACGTGCGAGCCATGTGAACAGAACATGCCACGAAAAGTAAATCTTCAAGCGACAAAAAATTAAGGGAAATTTAATTAGAGAGTGCATTTTTTAGCTTGCAGCGGGTTTTTTCACTTCTATACACACACGCACACGACGCGGCACTTTAACCACATTGCACTTGATAGTAGTGTTACTTTGGTGTGGGCGTTTGCGGGCCCGATGCTAAAATGAACAAATATTTAAGGGCGTTAATGCCCACAATAAAGAATTCCAACGACGTCGCTTCACGTCCTTAAGAACCCCTCAAATTTGTGCAGCGCGGTTTCTGCTTGGAATTATATTAGAGTAACGGGCGTTAATATTGCAAAACCAATGCTAAGAGGTTTTTCAAAAAACTAACTTGCCGTTATTTGCCACATTGTACGCTCCTCTTTAAAACATGCCGGTGTTTGCAAAATATGCCCCCGCAATATCTTTACTTAATTTTGCAAAACTACCCCCTCAAATCATCAACTGTGCCGTGCTCAAAAATCACTATTTCGTTCTACATTGCGATTACGATATTAGCTTTATCAAAGTTGTGATTAATTACTTTAGGCGTAATTTGCTTTCTAAAATAGCAATATTGCATTCGGTAACTTTGCAAAACCTAAGATCTAGCACGCGAATTTTGCAATACCCATGCCATGTACGCCCGCGTGTATACAAAACTCCTTTTTTTTTAATTAACGGGATCATGTCTGCTTTGAGCAATCTCCCTCGCTTCAAAACATAAGTCTTTCTATCACCGTGCGTGACAAACGCAGGAGCACTATGGGGCACACCTTGGGCACACACTCCCAACCACGATCCCTCACTCCCGCCTAAGTGCAGGCCCGGCGGCTCCCACTTGAGATTTTTAAAAAATCTCAAGGGGACCCCCCTGCCCCACTGCCCTTTACGCGGTCCTCACAGTGAGGGCCGTGTGGTAGCGAGTTGTTGTCCCAAGCGTGTGCCCCTAGCTGTGTTTTTTTTTCAATTTAACACTTAGCCTTGTCCACTTACTATATAATATATTAATTTCAACACGCGAATAGCGCAAAAAATGAAAATTAAAATGCAACTGCATCATCATCGAACCCAAAGCGAAACAGCCAGCTGCCAATTTACCCCATTAAATCACATTTTAACACATACATTCCTCCGTAAGGATAAAGAGCATCACAGAGCCACTCAAAGCCAAACAAACAAGCAAAGGCCGAACTACCCAAATACCAACATCAAGCCCTCATCGAAATATCTCTAAGCGATATCGCTGCAGCAACCGGCCCTCCGTAGGAGGTAATGAAAACACGTCCCCCAAAACCAATCCAGCCAAGAGCACCCCGATTAGTGGGCCACCCGCAGTAAACCCAGTTGCCGCGCTGAAGTCTCCAGCGGCCACATGCGCGAGTCGCAAAAGACCGGGCCTGCGGTTCATGGAACCGCCACGCCTAAATGACCAGCGCGCCAAAATGTTAGCCCCGACGAATGAACACATCGCGATGGGTGCGATTGGGTCCAAGCCGGCACCCTTCTTGGATCTGCCGGCCCGGGTCGCGTAGACGCCGTGTAGACGCAGGGCGAAGGTGACTCACAATCTCGCATCACACTCGCCTCGAGTCTGCGTTCAATTCCGCTGCGACTCCGCTGTGTCGGGCATTGCCTACAGCCATAACCATGCGCCGTAAATGGACTATATCTCTTAACTTTGCCATGTATCAGAGCATCAATTTTTATTCCTACCAAAAAAAAAAGTTTTAACCCATCGTGACAAGGAGAAATTGAAAATTTCTTTACCTTCTCCCTCCCGGCTGCCACGAACTCTAGACACGAGGACGCAATGCCGACGCCGCTGAGACCCCGCCCAGCAGTCTGGGCAATCCAGCTAGCAACGATACCGCGCTAAGAGATGCGTTTATGCTGTACCGCCGATGGCAAGACCCAGGGTGACCGCAGGGTTCAGGTGACCGCCTGAGATGTTGGCCGCCATCGACACACCGACAAAGAGAGCAAACGCATGCGCAATGGCGACGGCCACCAACCCGGCCGGGTCCAGGGCAGCATCAGCGGTTAGCTTTCCTGCAAATTGAGTATCGGAAGGAGAAGTCATTAGAGGTCCTCCGTGACGTAAAATTTTGAATCGCGGCCCGAAAATTTTTGCGACGCTAATGTTTACCGTAGGCAATTGCGGAGCCGACACCAGCAAAGACGAAGAGGAGGGTGGCGATGAACTCGGCCAAGTAAGACCTGAGAGAGCTGGGGCTGAAGGAATCCCCGAAGCTTCCAAATGCGAGCTTCACCATTTTTTCAGTTTTTGCGAGTAAAAACTTGAAACTCTTGATTACAAATTTACTCGAACTTGTGCATCGAAGTGAGGCGTTTCGTGCGCTTTATATAAGGCCCAGATGGGTGGGGGCCATCAGCTAGCCAACTAGGAATCTCAAGGGAGGACACATTTAATTGGCTGGGATTAGCGTTTAAATAGTTTGGGCGGCGAGGGTTGTAATCACTATAGGAGGAGGATTAGTTATGTGATTTGTGATTGATGGCCGACCAACCGCCCTTTAGTTTTGAACCTTCATAGGTTTTTTTTTCCGGTTCTGGTCCCTCAGATCTTTCATGCTTTTAAACCAATCCTTCATATCGTTGAAATTGACATTGAGTCCCTTAAATTATGTTTAGTTATAAGTTCATTCAAGTAGCTGCCATCTGTTGCTTCAAAAAAAAAGTAGCTGCCATCTGATTTTAAACCCATTTAAGCATCATATCTGTTTAGAACTCAAATTCATTCCTCTTTCCTCATTTTCTCCCAAAATAATTCAACTACAAGAGGCTCTAAGTGCAATTCTTATTAGAACACCCCACCACGCGGTGGTGATCTGATCCATCTAGAGAGCGGTGAAAAGTTGCCCCTGCTTTATATATGTGCAGTTCAAGCTACTGCCCCACACAGTGAAGGTGTTCTAATAGGAGTCACACTCAAGGCTTTCTCCTTTCTTAGACCACCATATGTGATTCATAATAATTAATGATGTAGGACGCTTAATCTGAGTTGGAGTCTATTTAGATTAGGAAATATAGATTAGGAAATAAATTCAATTTTAGAGTCAAATTAGATTAGGAAACAAAATCAATTTTAATCCATGATTTGTTTCCTCTATTATAAGGAGTCTTTTTAGGATAGAATTTGATATAGGACGCTTAATCTGAATTGGAGTCTATTTAGATTAGGAAATATAGATTAGAAAATAAATTCAATTTTAGAGTCAAATTAGATTAGGAAACAAAATCAATTTTGATTCATGATTTGTTTCCTCTATTATAAGAAGTCTTTTTAGGATAGAAATTGACACTTTCTTTTTTTCGTAATTCTAGTCTTACTACGAATATTATTTTATACTTTTTATTTTTATAATTCTAGTCTTACTAGGAGTCTTATTTGTTTTTCTATTTAAGAAGAGTCATGTAACCCCAAAGGAGAATAACTTTTCATCAATAAAATTTCTCTTTTAATAATTTTTTCGTGGATTCGAAGTTCTTCGTAGATTCGAAGATCGTTCTTTGTGGATTCAGAGAACACCCTTGGCGGATTCCGAGGTTATCACTTCCGCGCTGCGTCAAAAATATTCAATTTTACAGTTAAATTAGATTAGGAAACAAAATCAATTTTGATTCATGATTTGTTTCCTCTATTATAAAAAGTCTTTTTAGGATAAAATTTGACACTTTCTTTTTTTGTAATTCTAGTCTTACTAGGAATATTATTTGATACTTTTTATTTTTGTATTTCTAGTCTTACTAGGAGTCTTATTTGTTTTTCTATTTAAGAAAAGTCATGTAACCCCAAAGAAGAATAACTTCTCATCAATAAAATTTCTCTTTTAATATTTTCTTCGTGGATTCGAAGTTCTTCGTGGATTCGAAGATTGTTCTTTGTGGATTCAGAAAACACCATTGGTGGATTCCGAGGTTATCACTTCCGCGCTGCATCAATTGGTATCAGAGCTTTGTTCCTCCAATCCGATGACAGGTGATGAAGTCCCTATTCCTCGAACTGAGTTCGACATGCTGAGGTCCGACGTAGATCAACTGAAGACCAATGGTGATCAGATAAGGGCTGCCATAGAGCGACTTACGATGGCGGTAGAACATCTGAACACGACAAGAGTTCAAAATCGCGTTGATGGTCGCCAACGACGTGATCCGACTCCATATGATAAATTCAACAGGGACAATGATCTTAAGCAAGACATTAGAGTTGGGAAGAATAGTGAAGAAGTAATAAAGAAAGAAGAACCACTTCCAGAGCATAATATCTTTCGTACGAGATGTATCGTGATGCAGAAGATTTGTAATGTTATTATTGACAGTCATAGTGAAAAGAATCTTTTCTCTCGGCGTATGATGAATAAGTTAGTTTTGAAGACAGAGAAACACACACCTCTCTACAATATCGACTGGATTCACAAAGGCAATGATGTGCACAACGATGAGATGTGTCGTGTACCTTTTTCTATCGGTCACAGGTATTTTGATGATGTGTTGTGTGATGTGGTCGAGATGGATACTTGTCATATGCTTTTAGGTAGGTCATAGCAATTCGATGTTGGAGCTACCCAAAGTAATAGAGACAATGTTTATATCTTTAAGAAAGATGGACGCCGAATTGTATTTTTGCCTCTTATAGAAAAGGAGCCATCTAAGATAAAAGCTACTGAGGAGAAGAAACCTTTGGTGGCAAACAACGAGGCTTTAGCAGAAAACTTGAAGCAATCTGAAAAGGTCTATGACTTGGTTGTAACTGAAAAAGAAGAACCTGCCTCTACCGAAATTCCTCTTAAGGTGCAAACAATCTTTATGCATGAGATTCATTATGGTGATATATATGATAGTGAAGATGGATGATATGCATGATATTCTCAAAGGGGTTGAGGGTGATATTACACATATTGATGTTGTCCCGATGGAGGAGAAGGATAAATTAGAGAGTGAGACAATTGATGATATGTGTGAATTGTTTGGTGTAGGGCTAGAGACAAAGGAGATGAAAGAATTGTATATGAAGTATGACGCGGGATTTTCTTCCCTAGAAGCAAAGTTGGTGAATAATTTTAAAAAGAATTTGATGATACTTCAAGCACTAGAATATGAGAAGCAACATGGAACATATTTTGAGGAGTTTTTGAAGTCAACTGCACATTCACATGCCGCCAATAAAATACACATGATGTCAGAAAGAATAATATATGAATTTGATTCAGAAGAAGTCCTAGCCGAGAACGTAAAACAACAGATGGAGAAAATTAATGCTAAGTACAAGGCAGACGTTGATCGTTGTAAGAGAAGAAAATTATTTATCAATGAAGCTACTATTCTACCAAATATAAGTTCGGGGTCGAGCTTCTTTCAACAAGGGGAGACTGATGTAGGATGCTTAATCTGAGTTGGAGTCTATTTAGATTAGGAAATATAGATTAGAAAATAAATTTAATTTTAGAGTCAAATTAGATTAGGAAACAAAATCAATTTTGATTCATGATTTGTTTCCTCTATTATAAGGAGTCTTTTTAGGATAGAATTTGATACTTTCTTTGTTTTTTGTAATTCTAGTCTTACTAGGAGTATTATTTGATATTTTTTATTTTTGTAATTCTAGTCTTACTAGGAGTCTTATTTGTTTTTCTATTTAAGAAGAGTCATGTAACCCCAAAGGAGAATAACTTTTCATTAATAAAATTTCTCTTTTAATATTTTCTTCATGGATTCGAAGTTCTTCGTGGATTCGAAGATCGTTTTTTGTGGATTCAGGTGCAAAAATGCACATTTAAACTTTTTAATATTTTGCCTATGGTGGAAAGAATGATTGTTACCATCAATCTTAACTAAAAAGTTTTCATGATCTACCACTTGGTATAGAAGATACAATTTGTTTTTTGAAAAGGAAAAAATTTGCAATCTTAAATTCGGTTTGAAATAGGTTGATTTTAGTTCAAAAATTATCTAATAGGATATGAATAAATATATAAAATATTTGCATTAATATTAAGGTTAATATTCTTATACTACATGTTACCATCCCTGTATGAGATTAATGCATAAATACATTACTGTCACTCTATTTTATTTACTGCAGTGAACTATAATTAAAGATAAAATTGTTAGTATAAATTGTTGTATTCTGTAACGGCTAGTTTGATGTAGAAGTTATGCTAATTATATTTAATGGAGCAAGTTATACGGTTGTTAAGTTGTTCAAGTATCACGTGATGTTGGTGTCTCCTATAAATTATTAACGTTAGATATGTATTTGTGTGTGCATCTATATCCGGATGTAACAATAAATAATAACATAATTTTCGTATTCTATGCCTAGTTTGGCAAAGAAGATATGCCAATTATATATATGAAGTAGGTTTCTATTACTAGTAAGTTGTTCAAATAACGCGTGGTGCTTGTGTCTCCTGTAAGTTGCAAAAATGCACATTCAAACTTTTTTAATCTTTTTTCTATGGTGGAAAGAATGATTGTTACTATAAGTCTTAACTAGAGAGTTTTCATGATCTACAATGTGGTATAGAAGATACAACTCATTTTTTGAAAAGGAAAAAGTTTGCAATCTTAAATTAGGTTTGAAATAGGTTGATTTTAGTTCCAAAATTATCTATTAGGATATGAATAAATATATAGAATATTTGCATTAATATTTAGTTTAATATTCTTATACACCATGTTACCATCCCCAAACGAGATTAATGGATAGATATATTTAGGCCTGTCCATCCGGCTCGGCCCGGCCCGGAAATCCGGGCCCTGGCCGGGCAAAACCGGAGCCCGGACCCTGACCCGGGTACCCCGGGCCGGGTTCCGGGCTGGCCTGGAATTTTTTTTAATTTTTTTATTAATTTTTTTTTATTTTTTTTAAAATTTTAAATTATACAAAAAAATACAAGAAAAATTAATAAAAAACAATAATTTTATTAACCACTTAAAATGACATAAATTATAAATAAAAAATGATAAAAACAAATTCTTTATTAATAATTAATAAATCATTTACAAATTACAAGTACAAATTTATTTTGAAATTCATCGCATCACAATAGATAAGTACATCCCAACTACGTTGGCACCTACTCACCTATATCACTATCATTTGTAACTATTTTCAAAATAATTCTTTATAAATTTTAAGCTAAGATATAAAAATTACAATTTGATTAATATTATTTATTCTTTATATCTATCTGCTAGTCTCAATTCTTCAAATTTATCTTCAATTCTAGCCATCCGATCAATGCCTTGCGTTCGCTTCTCGTACCTCCACCAATCTTGTAAGCACATCACCGCTTGTACAGTGTACAGATCTAAGCATGTC